AATATAGGTGGTTCTACAGATAGTGTTTGTGACCACGAATTAGAAGAATCTTAACACTACTTCTTTTTCATTATCGTCTGTCTGGGACTGCCTATATATGTGAATTTTGTGAGCAGTTCCTCACAATTTGAACTGGCGAATAGTGTTCAAATTGTGAGGAACTGCTCACAAAACTCACATGTGACGACACACGGCAGCCAAGGGCGAATAGTGCCCAAATACAGGCGAATGTGGCAGTCGTGCTCAGAACACCAGATCGCACCAGCTTCGAACCCTTCCTTGAAGTTTGACCTACATTTTGAAATCGTTGGGCAGTCGTCCATCGGCTTACGTCGAAGCGTGATCTAATGGTAGAAATGGTGTAATCTTTTTCGCAATACTTCTGGAGAAAGCAGACCCTGATATTGACATCACATAATCTTCACATGTATTTATTTTTATGTGAGGGCACTCTAGTGCACTCGCACTTGGGAAAAGGAGATTGTCCATAAGAAAAACAGTTTCCCAGAAGACTGCCGGGAACACTTTATGCGCGCAAAACAGACCAATGTGTCCATCAGCCAACAATCCTTGAATCTTTGCACATTGTGCAGTATAAAGTCATACAGGATTCGAGTCCTGTACCTGTGATCAAGATGCCGCCTTGACTTTGGCTAATGATTCCACCTTGTATCCAGCCTTAGCATCTAGATGGGCGCCGCAAATCGCAAACACGCAGCACTCACATCACAGGAGGATTCCACAATAATGTCGGAGGCCGAATAAGGGGAAGTATACCAAGTCGAATGCATCTCTTGAACGAGACGCCCTTTGCAGCGAATAGTATGCCTCCAGCGGCGTGTGCAGGGCCGTGCTTGGTCTGCATCCCACCGATCAGTAACTTCTCCCCGTCTGATTCTAGCCTTCAGCAATAAGAGCGTTTTTGTTGACGAGAGCAGCGCAGCACATTGCCGCTCACACCAATGCGGAAACTCTAGGTCGCAACGAATGTCCTTGCGCAATTTTTCAAAGACATCGCAAACGGTTGCACGTTAACCTGGAAGGAAAATTTTTAACCATATACAGGAGATGGTGATATTCCTTCATATTCTCGAGTCTCACCTCCTGCACGCTTTTTGGAGCCTGGAAAATGCCATAGTTTACCCATGTACGCCACTGACTTCTTTGCGAATTTTGTCTGGGACACACAGCGAGCGAAGCCTGCCGCAAAATATGCTCTGTGGAAGTAGAGGGAGTGGTAAGTGAGAAAACCTGCCAACTTTGGTTAAGAAGGTTCCGCGAAGGAAACTACAACCTCGAAGATGAACCTGGTCCTGGACGTCCTACGGATGTCAATTTAGAACGTATGCAGTACGTTTTGAGCTACTACTTCAAAACGTTCTGCATGCAAGCGCCAAGGAGCTGGCAACGGAGATGCAATGCTTCGACATAGCCACAGGTCGTGACCTCCACAAGCTGGAAATCAATAAACTTGGTCGACGGATCCCGCCTGCACAGCATCCAAGAAAAAAGGTGTGGAGGTGTGCAGAGGTTTTCTTGTAAGAAGTCGCCGTTTCGATACTGACTGCATGATGTTAGCTGGAGATGGAAAGTGGGGGGGGGTCTACGTTAATCATAGTAGGAGAAGACAGTGAATGGATGCGAACTAGAAGCGCGGAACCGTCTCAAAGGGCAGGAGCTGCGACCAAGTAGCTCCTCTGTCAGTTGGTGGAGTGTTCGGGGAACACGTCATTACGAGATGCCAGACAATACCATCGTCGACGCTAGGTGTACTGCTCACAACCACGAAGGCTCGCAGTTGAAGTCGCGAAACTTCGCCCTAAGCTGGACGAAGTCCTTCTTCTTCATGACAACTCGCGAGCATGTTGCGAGAGGGAGGAACACATTGGCGGGACTGGGATTTACGGGTGTTACTCCATCCGCCATATTAGCCAGATCTCGCACTACGAACCACCACCTGCTTCGTTTCCTGGCTCGCTTCATACTAAGTGTAGGTACGATAACCGTTAACAGTTGCAATCGGATAACTGGCACTTCCTCAACTCGAAACCTTTGAGCCGAATCTTGGAGGAGAGGCATTCTTCCCTTGTCGACCGATGACTGAATGTTGTAGATTTATTTATTTATCCATTACATTCGCATAAGGCAATTGTGAGAAAGATATACAGCAAGAATTGTAAAAACTGGACACACTCCCGAGTAATCAAAATGTGAACACGAAACAAAAGATATTAGCCGTCTACCTTGCTTTCGAGGAGCTGCCTTCCTATCTAAACTCGCCTTTAACCGTACGTCGTACGTCCGGTTAGGGTGAGGATGACCGCCAGTCTGACTAACAGCCACTAGCTCCAGATCACTTGACTCCTCGACCAGAAGTTGCTGACGATCGAAACGAGCAGTCGAAAAATGACGCAAATATTATACATTTGTACAATTGGCAATATTGTACATTCATCCATTCTACTGAACTCAGGACTTGCTGCATTTATCCGGAGAGGCAAAATTGAAGATTCTGCAGTCCTCGAAATATGTACGATGTCATCAGCAAACCTTAGCTGACTCAAGTGTCCTCCAGCAATTTCAAATCGCATCCCGATCGCTGCGAAGTAGGGTGAATTCACACATGCAGAGAACAGCTTCAGGGAAACTGGATTGATTCTCGGCAAGCTCAATCGACCATTGTGCCAATTGTGAAGTTGCTACTACCCCTCCTTTACGGGAAATCTACGACCCTCCCCCCCCGAGATGGATGGCGGAGTGTTTTGGAGTAGACCCATCTCTGCACCTCTGAAAAGCCGCGAGTTCGATCCCTGCCGAGGGTAACCATGCCCTGCAAAAATTGCAAAAATGGTTCTAGTACCAGCGTCAGGCCCAGGTTGACAGGCCGGCTGATGAACACCCCAGTCACAAAAACATGTCTAAAGTCGAAAAAGAATCAGTGATAAAGCTAGGACGTCACCCGGAAGTGGCGCGCAGAACCCCCGCCCGAGTTCTGTGGTCAGTATGCGAGGGCTACCGAGGAGTGAACGGCCTCGGCCAAAGAAGCTAGTTCGAATTGGGACTCTAAACGTAATCGCTAACTGGGAAGTCCCGAGAGGTTGCTGATCTGATGACGCGCAGGAATATCCAAGTCCTATGCCTTCAGGAGACGCGATGGAAAGGTGCTAAGGCCAGGGAAATCGGGGAAGGTGTCAAACTCTACTACAATGGAGAAGACACCAAGCGGAACGGTGTGGCCATAGCGGTAGCGGAGTCGCTCAAGGACTATGTCTCCGCTGTGAACAGGATCAGCGATCGGATCATGGCTGTGAGGATAGACACGAAGGAGGGGTACTGGACCAATACTCTCCGTGTACGCACCGCAAGCCGGATGCCCCGAAAGTGAGAAGGACGAGTTCTATCTGAGCCTGACCACCACACCAATGAATCCGGAAGACGATAACCTCACCATAGCATGTGCTCTGGAGGGCTGAATATTTTACATCTCTTTGGACTTCTTTTCAGGTCTCCATTCTCTCTGCCTCTACAGCAAGCGTATTAGTACTGTCATCAAACGAAATATTAACGATGGTAATTAAAGGAGTTCTTCTCATATATTTGCCAAACATCGAACAAGTAAGTTATTTTGAGGCCTCATTTCTCGGAAAGTCCTTCATAGTGGAGGTGCAAAAATTTTCAAAGATGCTCAGTAGTCAGAAAAAATTGAAAAAATCATGTCATCCGTTAAATACACAATGCTCTAGAGGGCTTGCGGGTATTACAAGTATTACAAGGGACTGGACCGTTTTCGACGAGACGATTGCTGTTATTCGAAATCATGCAATCCCTCATTCCGATATTTGCACTTGTGTATTTGTTCGTGTGGGAGAAACATTCGGGAATACTGACTAATGATGCGGAGAGGGCATAATAGTTGCGAATTAATGAGGACGGTAGTCTTAATATTTTCGATCTTGGAACTAGGCTTGAGGGATAATTTGTACCGGAACGCTTGCTGAGCTTGCTGGGGACGTTCTGTGAAAAATTGTGGGAACAATTTGAGTGTAGCTATCGAGAAATTTACCTAAGAACTCGGATTTGGTCACTCAACCGTTTACCTACACCTTCACCCCCTTTCAAAGGCCTGCAAGTGGGGTAAGTGGGCGCAACATCAACCTTTCCATTTCCTTTCCTTTATTCCTTTTTTGGTCACGTGGAGCAATGATGACCACGAAAATGTGAAAATTGAATGGCAAGCTAAGCCTCGTCCTCAATGACCATCACACATTGCATTATCTAAAAACACTTTCTCTAGAGCGCTTGAACAGAAAAAAAAGTCTGTGAACGAGGTCTGAGTATAGTAGAAGGTCATTCAGGTTTCATTTAGAAAAGTTTCGATGTTCTTTTAGTAGAGAAGTCAATCGATTGTAGAATATGAATAGCAACGTTGCAGATAAGCTTATTGACGTACTTGCATAAAGTATTTGGGAAATTTGATGGACGTGGCAGATTTTACAAAGAGACCCATTATGTTGGCAAGTCAATTGTAGAGCAAGCAACATCTGATAATACTCAAAGGGGGGCGTTCCATGATTAGGCGCGCTCGCCTGTTCCATCCCGGGGGTAGTAGACAGGCGGACAAGCGTTGATGTCGCGCCCTTTTGCGCTTGAAAGTGCGCGACAAAGGCGCAAGGAGCTCGTCCGACCCGCAACTCACACCTTCGTCCGCAAGCCCCACCCTCCGCTGTCGGTTGCCACGTGGCGCTGCTTGAAAAGCGCGGGCGCATTTGAGGCAGCGGTCCCATTGCGACCCAATGTCATTGGCACTGGAGCAAGTAGAGTTAGGTTCGTGAAACTCGTCCAACACGCCCCTCTATCCCAAGGTGGAATTGCTGCTGAAAGAGAGAGGTTTCTATTCGGGGCGTAATCGGTGGTTTCCTTTGCTTTCTTTCTCTTTTCCAGACCACCTCCCACCTCTAGATTCATAACTGAACGCTTTCCCACCCCATTCTATCCCGAATCTTGCCTTTAATGAGATATGCAAGTGTACACATCAATGTGCTGCACCTGGCGGCTTTTGAAGAACACCATAAATGTTGGGAATCGGAGGCGTCCTGCACCAGGAGTAGCGGGCGAGGAGTGCTACTCGCGAGTATTGAGGCAACTCCTACGATGGTCCTCCCTTCCCCTACTTGGCCGTCTACGCCAAATCCCACCCGACTCCCAAGAGGCCCGCTGAACTAGCAATAACCACATCGCACATCTTAATTTTGATCGCCTCAAGCAGGCATCGTCGGGCTCATATCCCGTCGACCGTATACTACTGATATTTGTTTAAGGAGATATAACACTAGCAGACACCAAGGTAATTATGTTTATGTTACTTACTGAACTATTTAGAACTGTTAAATGATAGTATTCCTACGCAAACAAGAGACGTTAAACTTTTCCGCCAGGAGGATATGTTGCCTATGTCGCCTGGTCCGGAGTGATCCCGACCAGCCATGGGAGCTCTGCATGGTCGTCTTGCATCCGACCGAATAATGAATTATTGATTGAGTTCTAAGGGCTCATGCCCTAGGTAGTAGCCACATTGGGACCAGCCTGGACGAGGGCCGAAGTCTCTTCTAGAAAGGAACGGTAAGACCGTTAGGGACGTTAGTGGGAATAGCTAAACCAGTTAGTAAGACACAGCAGGGAGAGACAAGCTGAACTGACGAAGTGGGAGCCGACAGGTGTATAGAGCAAAGGTAGGTGGTCAAGATGGCTGACTACGGTAGGGACCAACACACCCGGGGGAAAGCCCTTGGGGAGCGACCTCGCGATTCGCAACAATAAACATTGAGTTGAATCATTACAGTACCTCCCATAACTTTGTTTACAAAAGCCGTGCACTGCGTGGTTCCGCGTCTTTTTCTTCTTTTCATTATAGCCTGACTAATGTTCACATTCTTATTGTACTTTTTCCCCAGGAAAAAATAGCTCAGGTAAGAGCGCATAATTTCTTTGAACCAACTAAATTTTGGCCAGGACATCACAACATTACAATGAATACATGGTTCAGACCCAATGACAACTCCAAAAATTTTTAAGTTCATGTAGGTCGTGCTCATTATGAAGATAAGTATGCCAACTGCTCATTATAAATCTGGAAGCTGTGCACACACTGACAAGTCTGAAATTCAAACGAACAGCGTGCCGGGCAAATCTTTTGTTTAATACCCGTGTTTTCCGTCCACAGCAGCCAACAGTGTCCTGTTTCTGCGCACACAACGCCACGTCTCCTGCTCTGCACTCCATGCACAAGAACAAGACCTTGTGGAGATGACGGCGGTGGAACCAATACATAACAGGAAAGCGTGCCTTCACAATAGCGGCATCACTAACACTGCTGGTGCCAAAACAAAGTGCTTGACATTTCCTCACCCTGTTAGTCCCCTCATCCATAGTTGGATTTTTTAGACGGTTATACTGTTCATTTTCAGAATACCCCTTCACATCAAGGTAGTGGTTCATATATCTAGTAGAGTGATGGGGATGACCTACTGTCACCTTTGTGAAGAATTGGTTGATGACGTGAATATTCTAGAGAAGCAATACAAGTCATGGTATAATATGTTGAGTGATTAGGTGATTCTTTTCACCATGTGTTAGTTTTGCGGAGCTCAAAGAAAGAGCGATTGAATTTAAATTATTGCATTATGAAATGGTGAATTACTATTTACTGAGCAATGAAGGCATTACCAGAGATTTCTGCTGGAACAAATCAGCTCCACAATTCAGGATCCCCAATCCTACTACCAGAACTGCCGTTCGCTCGTTCTGACCATTGCAGGACTTTACGTTCTTCTCTTCCGCTATCCGGCACTGTTTCGCATCTCAGATTTCGATTGTAGATGGACGTTTTACATCGTAACATCTTGCTATTCACTAGGTATGCCTGTGACTCTGACATACAGAACAGAATGGTTTTTATGGATGATGAGAATGATATTTCTCGTGCATATGCCTTCAAAGCGTGATTTTGATAGTTGTCTCACAAATACTCCAGGACTTGCCTTCTTCTGTGCCGAGGCTTTCAATGCGTATGAACTGCTAAAATTTGAAAATTCGTGGACTGTCAGACTCTTCAAGCCTGCGAGAGATAGCGCCACTCTCTCTGTAAGTTAAGCGCTTTTGAAAAAATTCACATTATTGCTGTTACGTTCACAGAGCCGAACTGTTCTCTGCATTACTACTGTTGCTGGTGCGCTTCTGATTATTTCTTCATTGGCGTATGAGGAGGTAAGTTCGTGGAAAAGGTTTTTTATCGTCAGTGAAGCGCTCAATGCTTGCGAAGCATCGAACCTGGCACATACTATCGTGCAGGGTACGGACAAATTACAGCAAGTGTTGAGACTGTGCAAATTACATTCTTTCGTGAGGGCTGAAGAACTAAGTCACAAGTGCGTCTGCATTGGAAACTACACTCTCAGTTCGCATCGGCTCAGGAACGAGGCGCGCTGCGGAACGCCCTTCCATAAAGAGGTTGTATGTAGCGCGGTTCAAGATAAAAGTTAGCCATAAACAGAGCAATGGTAGCTTGGTCAAGAGGAAATGATAGGAACCACGAACCTCTCTGGATTTCAGTGTATTTGAAGGTAAACCGCTGGTTAGCCCGACTTGAGGAAAAGATACCTTGAGGGAATTGTAAGGTCCTTACCCAGCTACATTGCTCCAGCTTTCGCGCAAATTGCGAGGGGCGGTAATCCTTACGGGCCTGCAATCATGAACCCTCGCTGCAACGCTTCCCACCAACCGCTGTTGATGTAGAAATCAGCGCGCTCTCGAACGGCGTGTCCTCTTGCGTGTTTTGTCTTCTTTGAACGTCCTGTCTCGCTATCGCACCACACGACCTTATAGAAAATTGAGGCCTCAGTTTTAGCGTTTCCAAAGATTTCGCTTGCTTTCCCCACTTCCAATTCGTTTCGCAGTCATCACTACGAAGTCGCGCCAGTTTTATTCCGGGCATGCCTTTGAGGCATGGCACATTTTTGAAGGACATCGACTGATGGTGTGCTCTTTATTCTCATTCCCTAGAATCGAATTCAGAGGCATCGAATGGCTTTCGGAGAGGATGCGTGAATGGCATACAACGAGTCTTAAACCAAGGGAAACCCACGCCAAGTTTATGAACACATATCGTCTTGGTTGATTTAACGGCTTCTTCTATCCTCTAGCGTGGTGGTTCAGTGTCGAATAGCAATGCCTTTATTACAAAATCAGCGAATACAGTAGACTGACTCAAAGAGCCGAAAGCAATCTATAATCTCAATCGACCAGTGTATACACTGCGTTTCATAATTATAGGTCCACCCTAAATTTTTGCTACCCCAAAGTTGCTGTGCATTTTTTGGAAAATGCTGCTATCACCATTAGATTCCTCATCACGGAAAACCTTCATAGTGTTTTTCTGACAAATTCCCCCTCAAGTAACCCAATTAACTTTTTCAGAACGAATTTTCACCGTTTCATGAATATCGGGCCACTCATAAAAAGTTTCCATTTCTCATGATCCGTGAAGGGAATGAGGGAAGCGGGGATATATGTGAGCTCAGTCGACATCGAGTTTACCATACCTCGTGTTACTCGCCTCTCTTCCCAGTAACAAGCTCAAACCAGAGCCCTTACTGAAGTTTGGATGGCTGAGAAGCAGAACTGCCTCCCATGTCGGCCGGCTCATGATGCATAAGCAACTATGTGCGAAATCCCGGTCTGTGCGGGAAGAAGAGTAGCCTTGGTAAATAATGACAGCGTTTCATTGAAAATCAAGAGGAATTGGGCGTCTTCTGTCGAATTGGATAAGGCGTCCGAACAAAGTCCGTGCTGAAATGCGGCCTTCCGTGAGCAAAACCACCGTGTGGTGAATAAGCCAGCAGAGCAATAACATCTTCAGCGGATTGATGAAGAGCGTTCCAAGATTATTTGAGCGCTACAAGATCGCACGTCTCCATTTCTCCGTGGAAAAGGGCTCAACTTAATGAACGAAGGTGTGGCTGTTAAGACCCTTCGCGATCTTGGACTCTACCTCCTTGTTTCATGCTACAGGTGATCTGGATCGACGTGAAAAAGTTTATTCTAGGTGGATCTGATAGAAAAAGAGGGTACAGGGTTCCGTGAAAATCGCAGATGGTTTCGATGTAAGGTAATTTTGGCGGAAGAATCCCTTATGGTTTGAGGCACCTTTGAACGACTGAGCGGCTAGAGCTCGTATTTGTTTCCTTTCACGAGGATTCCATAGGGTATCGTGAAGTTCTTCTGAAGCGACTTTTACCATCTTTTCGACAACAGCCCCTCGAACCTTGATTTTTACGCACGATAACGCGGCTGTCCATGCCGGTCCTTCCACGCCAGATGGAATTGCAGGAAAAAATGTGGCAGTTATCTGGTGGCCACCATGTTATCTGAATCAGATTCCAATAGAGAATCATTGGGCCTTAATTGTTATAAAGTTCCACAGCAAAGTAAAGCAAAATGGAACAGCCGAAGAGCTGAAAACGTCGATCATCGGCGCCAGACAAATTTCGATCCTACTGTAATAGCTAATTTGGCTACCAGCATTCCAAAACGTATTATTGTGTTCCTTATGATTAATGGAGGACCATCCCATTATTGAAATTTTTTTTTTTTCGTTATAAAATCTCTCGACAAGTGATGTGTAGTCATATTTGCGAAACGGTGAAAATACGTTCTAAAAAGATATTTTAATAATTCTGAATCGAGATTTCTCCAGAAATCGAGTATCAAGGTTTTTCGTTATGGGGAAACTATTGGTAATAGCGGCATTTTCCAAAAATGCACAGCAACTTTGGAATAGCAAAAATTAGGGTGGACCTATAATTATGAAACGCAGTGTATATATAGTTTTCCTAAGGGCACTACGTCCTATCCCCGCCATGAGATAAAAGTCTTCCCAAAAGATAAGCGATTTTGTTTTGCTACGTAAATCTGAGAAATTTCTGAGAATGGCGAGTCAGCCGCGATACTTCCCGGGCCTACGAGAAGATCGCCCCCAAAATCCTCTCAGAGTGGCATCTACGCCGGATCACTGTGGCTTCTGCAGTTCTCCTTGCAAACTGTCGATCTTGTGTAGAGCAGCGCGTCGTTCCTCCAGTGCATCGTTGATATGTATCTCTATTTCTTTACGATGATAGCAGGGCATCATGGACTTCCGACATTGATGGAACGGAAATTTTATTTCCAAACAACCTCCGCAGCGTCCACTGATCTGGAGTATACGTTTTCTTTCAGCAACTTCCTTGAAGGCGGTGAAAGAGTCTAAATAGTGTGGACCAATTCTTTCACATAAAACGCTGCATATCTCTTTCTCGTCTTTTCGGCGAGTGACCTCACCCGAGAAATTTCTAGCTTCACACTCGGGCTTCCAATCAAGATCCGATGTTCTAAATCATCAATTTCTGCAAACTTTCGCCGAACTCTCTATTGCGCATCTCCGCTGCCACTGCTATCTTCTCACACTTTGGTCATCAACTATCTCTACATTTTCCATGAACTCAAGGTTGCGCTTTGTAATCGCTCTCTTCCTTGCTTTGCGACTTCCATCATCGAGTCCAGCGGGATTCAGCACCAATCGAGCATCTCGATGTCCTCGCCTCCGCCGCTCGTGTGAGATGCTGAGTCACCCATAGCGCGTGCCGCCGCAAGTAATTGCGTAGTTTCCGAGACGGCCTCTGTAACAGCGTCTCGAACGACGCAGCTTGGAAATTTCCGATCAGTGGCTTCAATTCTTCGATTTGCTGCGTATGGGAGGCAAGGGTGGCATTGTTGGCCTCCATAAGTTTGTGGATTTCTCCGAGTGAGGAATGAGGCGATTCCTGGAAGCCCTTAGACTCGAGAATTCCCTCGTTAGTCATGTTTGCCGCATCTTCACGAGCATGGAGCGGTACTCGTCTAGAATTTCAAACTGATCCGTGATTACCTTTTCGATTTGGTCGTAATCAAGAAGCAGCGTTTCCCTTTGTCATCCCATTGAGGCTTTCGTATCATCGAATTCCATTCTTCCTCAGAAATAATATCAGAGGCAGAAGAAGAGGAGCGATGTACAGTGAAGAGCGTACGGATTTCTGATCTTTCGTTAGCAGCGGGGATGCCATGTGTATTTCATCTTATTTGTGCATATTTTTACTTTTGATCAATTCGCATGCCTCACCTCGTAAATCGGATATCAAGTAATCGAATTTCTGTATCCTCAACAACCATTGGCTGTTTACGTTGACCCCAAAAAGGGTCCAGAAATTGTGAAATTCCCATATTTTTGTATGGATATGGGGATAGAGGGTAGTTTGAAGTGCTTGCCTCTAATATTTATTTATTTATTTATTTATTATTTTTTATTTATTTTTTGAAACGACGCATAAGGCAGTCGTGGGAAATAACGATACATGAGCAACAGTACAACAATCTTTCCTTATAGATAACCTAGTTATAGCTCAACAAATTTTTCTTAGCTAGGCGTTTGAAAAGCACAAAAGTGGGAGTGACGAGTGCCTACATTAGATTTAAGAGAAGCATATATAGACCCCGCACGACAGGTGAAGCTATAGAGCTTCACGTTAGTTCTTGGCGTTGCATATGAAATTTTCTCAGGCCCTCCTCTGGTTCTAGATACTGCCTTGACATAAAATTTGGATGCATCAACTCGGGCAATACCGGATAACAACTTAAACACCATACAAGCGTCATAAACTTTTCTACGAGAACATAAACTATGCAATTGGTAACTTCTATTTCTGGAATTCGGTTGAGGCACACGAGCGTAAGTAGCATCACCAGCCCTAATAAATAGTTTTCGAGTGAAATTATCTTGGATTTTTTCAAGTAACTGGATATCCTTTTTCTTATGAGGGCAGAAGACCGTTGTACCACATTCCGCGATGGGACGGATATACGTTTTGTAAGCTTTTATTAGGACATCTTTATCCCTTATCGCCAAACCCTTGAAGACTTGATATGTACGAAACACAGCCTTTTTGGTGATGGCCGCATAGTGATCAGAGAAACTCAGCTTATTGTCATAATGAAAACCAAGATCTTGACTGAAGAGACTTCATCAAGGACATGACTGCCAAGAGAGTAGGTGTTTGCAATGTTAGAAACACCAATCCTCATATAAACAGTTTTTAGGAGAAAGGGTAACTTCCATTGACTTGACCAATCAGAAATACAATTTAGAGCCATCTGAATTCTTATTGTGTCATCAATGCCTTCCAACTTCCTATAAACCTTAATGTCATCTGCAAATTGTTTGCAAACAACACCACATCTTTCCAGTAGACCGGGAAGCTCTGCAGTATATACAGCAAAAAGAATAGGTGATAAGACACCACCTTGGGGCACCCCACTTTTAACATCCATTACCTTAGAAAACGTAGACCCAATTCGGACTTGGAACGATATTGGCGAAAAAATTTTTTTATCCATCTACAAACTAGAGGATGAGACTTGAAACTGTTCTACACTTCTCGCCTGCGTTAAAGGATCTTTGGACCTATATGATGTTGGCGAAAGTCTAGGCTCCTGCGCGCTTTGCTTCCAATCTCATAGCAAGTTTCTCTGCGCTTTCGACAGCATTGTGTGCCTTGGTTACGAATTCATCCGCTTGTGTTTCTTGCTCTTCGTTAACGTCGTCTACTTTATCGAGTGCGTCCACTAATAGATCGATTTGGGTGGCTACTAGACGGATGGATTCTTTCAGTTTTAAAATTCTAAGAAATTCTACTCTGGATATTCTTTGCGTAGGGTTGCGCCTCCCACAGCGGAGCGTTTGCCTCATATCTACTAGCAAGCTCATTCAAGTTAATGTAGTAGCGCGTAAGTAGGGACTTTCTCGACTTCAGTGTTATGGGGCCGGACAATGGGGAACAACCCAATGTCCGGCCCCATAACACTGAAGTCGAACAACTTTTATCTGATGAACAGTGTACTCATTCCCAAATAAAAACAGTCAGACAGCCGGAATGAGAAAAGGAAACAAGGAAGAAACAAGAAAAAAGCGTGGTATGTTTCCTCTGTTTTTGATCACCAGTAAGAAGAAATACTGCGTGGTTTGGATCCGAAAGGTGCGGAAGACTTCACAGCGTACCAACAATGAATTGCGTATCTGTTCAGTAATGTCGTGGCCGATGAACCATTTAACGGCTTCCTCTCTCCTCTTGCGTGGTGGTCCAGTCCTGATTAGCAATACCTTTATTGCAAAATCAGTGAATACAGTAGACAGACTCATAGGCGACTGGTCACCATGCAGATGGGTCACGAGTCCCCTACGATGGCTACACGAGGCTCGTCCGGTGGCTACCTCGCAGATTGGACGCAGCATATCAACCAAAACCCAAGCTGTTTCATTAAGGGTGTGACCCCTGTTTTGTTCGCTTTATGCAGACAAGCATTGCGAAGGTAACCATGGAATAGCTTCCAAAGTTGGCCGCAGCAGTGCGGGAGGACGGTTGGAAAAGTCTCAAAATCTCCTTTATCCGGAGGACCGCCCGAAATCACATTGCAAATAACTCGCCACGTTTCGAGGGAAACTGGCTGGACCACGACACCACATCTATCGTATAGCCCTTACGTTGCTCCATCGTACTATCACCTCCTCAGCCCCCTGAAGCAGCAGCTAGGAGAGGAAAAAGTCAGTAAATACAACCACCCCAAAAACGACCTCTTTTCATCTCACAGCTTCTCTCGTTCTGGGAGGAATGCATCCATTCGTTCCCTAGCAAATGGGTGCATATCAGTGATAATGGTGGTGGTTATGTCTTGATCAATTAGTCTTACAAAAAAAAAGAAAAAAAAAGAATTAGTCTAGGCCGGCACTTAAGAATAAAGAATAGGATTTGTCGAAAACTTAACTTGAAGGCAAGACCCGGGTTTCTCGTTGAAGTTGAGCTTTTCCACAAGAAGTGCAGCGGTACCAAGCGGGAAGCACGTACACATTTCTCGAGATGACCTGACAGTGTCGAGGCGTTAAGGCCTGGGATGCAACATCAGCCCGCCCAACACCATTGAGCGAGCTCACAAATCGGCGCTGTTTCGCTTTGCTGCTATTGGAGAGACGACGGTCTTTCTCGTTTTTCCTTTGCTAGCGTTACCCTTCACATCTACACTGTCTCTTGTAAGCGCATTAATACATCACTTCGATCCCGGACTTGGTCTTCAAGGGCTTGTTTACCTCTGTAATGCGGCTGCGGTAATGGCAATGTGAGACGAGTGTGGAGAAGCGAGTATGCGGTGAGAGAGCGCTACAGATGAGAGGCGCCAGACAACAGCTTGCTATGGAAGGGGAACGTTGCAGCTGCTGCATACCACTTTACCAGGAACTAGCGCCCTTGACGGACGATTTCTATGCACTGGAGTGCCAAACCTGGGATGGACCTAAGCCTCTATCGCATATTGGACCACTTTCCTGACATTTAATTACACACTGTTCCAACGTGTTTTTTTTTCTGAGTGCGCTGTCATTCATGACCTAAATCAGCGTAACCTTCCTTCATAGAACTTTACGTATTTTTTTATTTACACATTAAACTTCAGATGAGATCATCTTGGAGCTGCTTGGGAAGATTTTCTCCCGAGACAATAGATTTGTGGTCACCTATACTCTTGCTTAACATGTGTCTTGCTTCCACAACAACAGCCCTCTCGTATATCTGCCTATTTACGCAGAAATATCTTCCACACTTCCAAGAGAAATTGAACACTCTCTTGAGTGAAGCATCCAAAGACAGGAAAAATGCAGTTGAGAAGGTAAATGAGAAAGAAAATGGAGTCTTGTAAGTGAAGCAAAAGAGCTTTCAGTGTCAACGAGGTTCACTTTTCCTTTCTGTGGCACCGTGGTTGCTTTTATGCTACTGGCAGGCACTGCAATTTCCAACGATTGGGTCACAATTTTTTCGTCAACAGGTGGGTGGTTCGCCAACCGACAAAACTACTTCTTTGAACTTTCCTAGAACCTGATAACTTATCCACTCTCATGATGAGTTTCACGCTGATGGAATAAGGGACCGCCAGCAGAGGTCTGGTCGGGGAGATCTCACCGCAGAGTTTTTGTGGTAGAAAATAGTGACGACATCAACAGCTACTCAATGAGCACCCACCGATTCCGACTATTCTAAAGTGTTGCGTGAAAGCTGGAAGAAAAGAAAAGGAGGGGAAGAGAGGGGATAGAAAGCAAACTTACCGGTGACAAAAGGTGACGAGGGTAAAATCAGTATTAGGGTCCTGAGCGTGATGTAGTAATCGTGACAAGACTTTCTATTATACAGGGAGGGGGGGGGGGGTAAGAAGAAAGAGTTGCTTGTCCCACTGCGTCGCACGCGCTCACACTATTCGCAGCGACAGAGTTAGCTGTTGATTGAATAGCCGCTACCGGGCTCCTAAGCTGTAAATAAGTTCTTCAACCGCTCTACTTGTGGATAGCTTATAAGGGACAGTAGCTGTGACAAATGCGAAGCAGCTTTTTATCAGCATATCAGGTAAATCGTTCTAATCTACGATCTGTCCACAACCAGGTTGAACTCGTACCGTGCTCTCGTTCGTTCTCGTATGTTCCTCGTTAAAACAAAATCTTGTGACGGGTAGAAGAAATCTGATTTCAATGTGTTTAGTTAACACGTTTTGTGCTGATTCCGTTAAATTCCTAACAGCCTTCAAAATTGGAATGCTCCAAATGAAAAGAAATGATAATAATCACAATCTTCCCGGTTCCAGTATGGTCCTGGCATTCTCTGTGCTATACGGTGCATGTAACTCTTCGCTGTCTATTTTTACTTCGCCTGAGGCAGGTCTTTCTGTATGAGAACGACGTGGTGAATTTCGCTGCATTCAACTTTGACAATCCAATTGTTGCAGAAGTATTCTACATTGACATGGTATGCCATGCGATTCTTGCCTGCACGTTATTCGCCCTCGTTCGACTCAGTGACGATGTTCACTCAGAAGGAAATTTGCGATGCGTTTGTGCAGGGAAAAAGTGCAGCGCCAAGCACCAAAGTTTTCAAGGCAAGGTACCGCCTTGGTGCCCCAGCTGATCCGGTAAATTGTGCACACCCTAATGTTGTCATAATGTAACAGTTCGTAGCAGTCTTTGGTAAGCACACTGCGCTCATTCGTCTGGTGAAGCCATTCATTCGAGACCGCCAACGACCCATAGTATCCGGACTCCAAAGAGAACTAGCTTGAAAACTGGGCGAAGCTCACTCAAAAAATCGGGAAATGACTGATGGGCTAACGAATGCATATCTTGAAGCGGTCTGTAGGACTTTTACGCGTCAAAAATAGTCTTTCTGTTATATAAACCACTAACTTGGTGTGTCGCTTTGTATGCATTATATTATCCTCCTATCCTATCCTACTATATATAAGCGGCTAAGTGTGTCTGTTGTGTGTGTGTGTATGTTTGACCGGAAATTCATAGCTCGAGTCACAGTAACGATAGCGCAGTGGTTCTTACATATGTTATAGGGGGTGGGATGGGGACACAAGTGGTACGTGATAGGAACTGATAACGACTGATAATAGCTGATAAGAGGGGCTAGAAAGCGAGCATCGCCAATTTCGTTTTGTCGTTCATATTGGTACTAGAGCGTCTATACTTACAAGTGTTATGTGGGGTGGTCCCGGGACATTGGTGGTACATGAATGGAAAGCGATAGCAACTGATAAGGGCTGATAAGGGGCGTCAGAACGCAAAAGTCGTCGATTCCGTTACGCAGCTGCGTGACACTAGAGCGTGGACATATTCTATTTGTAGTGGCACGTGCACATCCTATCTACTATTAGGTGTTTCAGAAAGTTCTGTCGTTTTCTGACATTCCACTTTTGGATGCTTTATTTCCCTTGAAATCTAGGAAAGCTGCAATTGATGTTGATGTCATTTTGAAGAACTTTTCCAGCTCTATCCAATGCTCAGCACAACTTTCCTAAAATATTTTCTTATAGCTTTTTCAAAGCTTTGAATGCGGTATACTCGATGAGCAAGTTAGCATGACTTTCTTTTTCTAGCTTTAAATAGACCTGAAAGTGGCTAAATTAGGGGTTGGAAAACGACAGAACTCTTGAAACACCTGATATACAGGGGGGGGGGCAAAAAAAAGACATTTTGCCTCCACTTCCAGATGGATTTAAGCACATTTTACTCAACTCAGACCGAACGGTTCCAACTTATTATTAAAGAGTGCATTCCATTCTATAAGAAAATCTTCATAGTGGCCACGTACGTGGACGGCATCAGAAGAATTAGCCCTGGAAACATGTGCACTGGTCGATCTCAATGGGGTCTTCGAAGGATCGTGTACCATAACGACCCTTACTGGAAAGCTAGTTCCGAGGGGATTTGCACAGTGGTAGCTAATGCCTCTAGAAAACTATCCAACATTAAATCGATTCACGAAATTGCGTAAGAGCTTCAGGCTGAAGCTCTTACGGTAGACCTCCTTGAGCCTGACGACGGTGACAGATGACGTCATATTCTGAAGACGGTGAGGGCAGTGAAGGAGAGCCTGCGTACACACTAATAGAGGAACACTTAGGGAATACTCTGCTGAGGAACTCCCGTCAACGACAGCAATCTCTGCGAAGAAAAAAGAGCCGAAGTCCGACATAGGCAAAATGTCTTTTTTTTGCCCCCCCCCCTGTATATATTCTAGCGCTAGGCGTGTGTGTTTGTCCGTGTGTGTCTGTCTGTCTGACTGGAATTCATAGCACGGGCACCAGTGGTCGTCAGGAGATGATTTCAAGATATGATATAGGGGGTGGGACGGGAACATCTCTGATGGGGACCTGAAAGTGATAACGGCTGGAAGGGGCAGATATGAGAAGCGTCGAACGCACATGTCACGAAATTCACAGCGCACGGCCCAGCAGCATTGAGGCGTTGCTTTGCAGATATGATATAGGGGGTGGACGGGAACATATTTGATGGGGAACCAAAAAGTGATAACGGCTGATAGGGGCTGATAAGGAGCGATACAAAGCAAATGTACTAGAGTTCTTATCCAGATGTGGGATAAGAAAACATCTCATTTTTTTGCGATGTAGTCGTGATCCATTCGACCGCTAATCTGCCCGAGCTTCCTAAGATGGTCGGTGTCTGTGGAAATACGATAAATTGGTAATTCTATCGCATCACCGGTAAAAGAAGTTATTAGACCGCTAAACTATCCCAATATCCAAGCATGGTAGATGTTTACGGTGAGGGTGATAATAAGCAGCCCAAGTAATTTTATTAGTTATCCAAAGGTCATTCGTGCTAGACTCTGTTACTTCTAGAAAAATGGTGGATTCTATGGTATTCGAACATGAGAAATTACTTATTTTTATTCATCTGCTGCTTATTCTTGATACACCATCAGAAAAGTCAATTGAAGCAGTATATCACTCAATACAACAGCCCGGCTGTACTCTGTTTCACAGTTTGTTTCTCTGTTGACATTCGCGCGATAGCGGGCGAAGCAAAACTGGTGTATGTATAACCGCAAAATGAAGTGAGTGACAATGCAGCTACTGGAATAAAGAAGCCGCTATCCGATTTGGGTAGCTCGCAGCTCAGGACGCAATTAATGTTTTGCATGCATGATTGTGATATACCCAACACGTAATAAACACCTACTTCGCACAATTCTGTTAATTCCACTGGGCGCTGCAGTGGCAGGTGGAGAGAAGTGGAGGAGCAAGGAGAGGATAGAAGAGGATGAGGAACGCAAAGATTACGCAGGGAAGGGGGGGGGTTGGCAGTTGTCGGAGACCAAATTGGTACATGTTTATTGGTCCTAATTTTAGCAGACCAATAATCAAAAAACCAGATTGGTTCCCCGTCAACCGCCGGGCGTTGCTTCCCTGCGTAAGGTTCACGTCTTCCGCTGTGCTCTTCCACTTATGTACCATAGAATGAGACTGTGTGTGCTCGATCGGTGTTTATGTAGCCGTGGTGGGTGCTCTCAGAATCACAACATCACGTTAGACTAATGCGTCAACACGGGTAATCCGTTCCTCTTGAAAGCAGTCCTTCTCCCTCCCTGCATCCTCTCCCACCTCCGTCGCCGCTTTTATTATTCCCCATCTTGCCCCGCGGCTGCCACGTAGTACTCATGATGTCCCTTCCTTTCCTTCCTCTCTCTCCTCTCCCCCTTCCCTCCCTTTCTCCCTCTCCCTCCTCCCCCTTCCTGCCCTCCCTTTTCCTGCCCCCTCCCTTCTTCCTCCCCTCTTCCAACTGCCACGGCAGCACCATGTAGAATGAGACTGAGTGTGCTCGATCGGTGTTTATATAGCCGCTGTGGGTGTTATCATGATCATGACATCAACATCACGAAGTGTTGCCCTTCGTACTCCCGGTCTTCTGAGCGGTTGGCCCGGACGTTACGGACAGAACGACACACACACCGACAAACCGACACATCAAATGATGTGGTTTATATAATGAAGTGATGTGAAATACACTGGTGTGCAAAACTTAAGGACGAACGCAATTTTCCGTGATTTGTTACTGCCGAGTAGTGCCGGAAACAAACATGGGGGGCTGATGGACACCTAACGCGACAAGAAAAATCACTGCAGTACAGTACGAATCAAGCAAAAGAACCTTCATGCAGGCTGTCAGAGATGTCCTCAGGTTTAGTTACTTTATTCATATCGTCCCTAACTTTTGCACATCAGTGTAGGTGCGGAAGTGTATGGCGACCCACAATGTCAACAGCGGTGAAAATTTGGTTTCGAGAGCCACTAATTCGAATCGTTGGTGTGGCTACACCTTAGCGTCACTATTCCCAAACAAATCAAATCCAAAGAGTGGTCTTCGACCTTCCCGTTGGTTAAGAAACACTCTAGCCATCTTATTTGAGCAGCGCATGAGAACCTGCTTAAGCAATTTGTCAAGATGGCCATTTTCGTGTTTAAAGAATAATTTTAATGGCAATAAGCCTCCCATAGCGATAACTGAGAGAATTCTGAACATTCAAAGGCGCTACCCAGGTAATACTCTGCATGCAGAACTATAACTTGTAGGCGGATGCTTCTGCGTGTTGATTTCAAAAATCAGAAAAGCAGGGTTTTATCAGTGTAGTAACCAGGTCACAAAACGGCTTATGCTTGTAGGCCTACGTGCCTAATGCACTGCGCCTTCAACTGGAGAAGACGTGAGAGACGCATACCTAAAACATAGGACGAAGAGAGAGACGCATACCTAAAACATAGGATCGAAGAAAGAAGTGGGACCAAAATCGATGCCTGTTTGGTATGTTTCCTCATTACTCACTAGGATCAAAAGTCAATCATAGAATTGAAACAGTTCGCACGAATTCTCTACATGTTGGCAGAAATTCGTTTCTAGCCTAGATAGGTGAAGCTTATAATTGTGCAGGGTAGCCACAAATTGCAAGATGATGAACTGATCATGGAAAAATGTGCACAACAAAAAAAGAAGTAAGTAACAAAAATATATTCTTTGGAAATTATTGAACGCAGAACTACATTACACTTCCAGGTGGCCACTATCTGCTATGAGAAAGGATTGAATCCTTCCGGAGAGGGCGAGAAGTCGGCGTGGAGATAGTCGACCTCGAGTGCATCCCAGGCTATTGTTGTGATTTCTTCCAGACTTCCCTTGGCCAAAGGAATTGGTTAAAATGGAAGAAAAAATTCGAGATAATTCTTCCTGTTCTAACTTACCTTTCGTGGAATAGAAGTCGAGGGTGTTTTGATTTGGAGTCTGATAGCCTCAAAACTTCAATATGAATCGACGATGTTTGATACACTGGTTTCGGCTAGTTAGAAATGTTGTTTTGTCCCACTTCTTTTTTTAAATACTAACTCAACTGTGAGCACCTCAGCATCAGTGAAAAATATCGGCAGTACAGATTCAAGACAAATAGACAGACATGACAAATACAAATGGTACTCAGAGAGTGAATCTTGCCACAATTTTTTCTATTTCTGCCATCTTCTCCCACATTCTGTGACAACGTTTCGTGCTCCCCTTGGAAGCAGTACTTATCCTACTATATATAATCGGCTAAGCGGTTGTGTGTGTGTCTGACCGG